ACTTAATTCTAAGACACGCCACCAAAAATCCTGCTTTCTAGTGTATGAGTACCTTTCATCAACCAACTAATGCGATCAAAAGAACCAGAAATAAGCGACAGTTGGGAGATTCCTATGAGATACATAAACCACAAATTCCTCAACTAACTAACTCTGATCCAGCTTCAGAAATGGTGTAGCTGCGTAGTTAATCAAATTTGAATAAAAAAGAACAATCAATCCAGTGAAGTCCTATGGCTCTACGGTCTCTGAGAAACGGGACATCAAAGGGGGGCAGTTTTGAAGGCTCCCGGTGGTGCACCCATCCACAGATGAAAAGAAAATTGCAGAGTCGTTTGTTCACCAACATGTGCATCTGCACCGATTTTCGAGAAGTATTGAAAATTTCAACAAGTAACTCCTGAACGTGGCTTGAACGGTTGGCATTGGCGAACAAGCGGTGTAAAAATGTCGAATAATTTCCCAATCCACCTTCTATCAGCCATAGGGACGGCGTTTTGAACTACCTGACCGGATACTACTCTTTCGTTTCATTAGTAGTATATGCTGCTACACCATCATTTTACTCTTCAAATCTCTCCAAGATATTTTCTTGAAACTGGAACTTATGATGAGGTCATTTTCTGATGGGGCCGCACGCCAGATTTTGAGATCGATTTTAATCACGACTCGGTTTAATCCGCTTCATACAGTTAGAAATTACCTTAACCGGACAATCGGTTACAGCATTCCTTCAACTGCTGGCAAGTGATGAGGATCGCTTGGTATGATATGTAAACACGGTCCACACGTCTTACGTGAAACGCAGTTCCTCTCCTCTCAGGGACACTTTCCAAAGGGTAAAACCATCATCAACGAGACAAGCTTGGAGGATGTCTGCCACAGCATTCCTATTTGAGGGGGTCTATCTACTTGAACAGGGAAAGAAAACACTTGTCAATCTCTCAGGCGACCTACAAACTTCACAAACTAGGAGGTCACAACAAGACTTGCTCAAGACATTGGACCATCACTTCAAAGAGGACAGCTTATGCGTTGACCTGCCACCTTAATAAAGTTTCTTGACCAGGTGTAACTGGACTTAGTCGATCATTTTATCCTGGGCATACACTTGACGTCCAGACGTAACACACTACTCATGAAAACTCTTCGGGAGCAACCTTGTAAGTAGTGTGTTCCATCTAGCCAATATATTTTGGTAACAAAAATGTAGTACTAACTAAAAAATGAAGCGGCTTGGAGCAATCGAAGGTAACCATTGTGAACGAGGGATTCAAGTAAATTCAAAATTCGAAATTCGTGTGCAAATGGGAGTATTCGTGTAGCAACGGGTTACTTGTTGTGCGTTGAGTGGTTGATGGGGCAGCTCTATTGGTTGCTCTGTTATCCTGTGTCCGATGGGGCAGCTCCGTTGGTTGCTCTGTTATCCTGTGTCCTGGTTCACCCATGTCCACGTGACCTCTGAGCTTGCCATTCCCAGCCTGAGTGACTCTTCCGAGTTCCGGCTTGTGCCCTTTGTTGACCTGACTCCAAAGTGTTCCTTGTTTCTTGGTGTGTGAATCTACAAGCTTCGAACAAATTCTCAACATAGTTTGCATCCAAGAAAATGCGATCGACTGAACGTGTTACAACCACCACGTGGCTTTGAGTTGCTTTTTATCCCACCATAGTGTTGTGCCCACTGTGGTTCCTAGTGCCGAAAAAGACTCGCCGATAAGGAACCTCGCTGCGTCTTTGGCTAGCTTTTTGTGTCCGGCACTGCCCAATTCGTTTGAACACTGAACATTTGTTTTTTATGAGTACAAAATCTCACAAAGTGTCATTCGCTGCATTGCCAGCACGCTGGAAGGAGCTTTGCCCCGTTCGAAGTTACCGTCAAGGGGGTTGCCTCGATGTGATCCTGACAATATTAAAAGCAGGGTTGCATATTGATCTCTCCAACATGGCCTTGTCGTGCTGGTAATCATGGGTAAAGGACTCCAGCGTTATCTCGGGAGTTTGTTCATTCATCTTTAATGGTCACGCTCTGATATCACTGTCTGAATGTGGCTGATGACCAAATATGAAATGAGACACTTGAACTGGTCTCCGGTCATACTCAAATCCAAAGTCGACTCCGGCGATGTTGTGGAATATGGCTAGCCCGGGTGCGCTGATTGGTTTTTGGTCTGTTCGCCGAGCTTGGATTGCAGACGTTTCAGTACCAACCGTCAGTGCGCCCTGACGATATCATCTCGATTGATGACGGAACGTTTGCAGTCTAACTACCAAGCTCAGCGAACAGACCAACAATCAATTTAGACTCTACCGGCATAAGTGATATATAGTCTTTGGATTCCCTTTTCGCAAAGCTCATACGAATATTAAACAAAGAGGAACGATCACCGAAAATTGCTGAGAGTTGCCGAACGGTTTTGCCAAAACTGATATCTTGCGTGTTGTTTGGCAGGAATACTGTGTGTGTCCCGCTGTGCTAACCTTTTTGAGCAATAAGCGTACTCTCCAGGTATCATCTTTGCGCTTCACTTTGACCTTGAAAACATCTTTGTAACGTCTGCAGCACGAGTCGAAGGTTAGACCAGCATCAGGGTCATAATGGAGCTCCGTGATGCTGTTGGCGATCAAGTCGACTGAATATGCATCGGGATGGGGGATGAATTTTAGATTGCTGCGTCAGTGTTTCCACCAAACGTAACTGCGCCGCTTCACACTGATTTTGTTGTTGCAGCACAATTTATTTCAACGCTTCAGCAGTTTATCATCATGGTTCCGTGGGTTCGGGCGTCGCCAATCTGTTATATGTGCTGATTCGTCAATCTGTGGTATCTGTTGCCGACCCGCTCCGGTGCCTAGTGCCGGAGAAAAAAGACTCACAGAAGGGAACACAACAGCCATATTCCGAACAAACGAGTGCGAGAGCGTGAGTGCGTGGGAGTGCGAAAAGTACGAAGTTCTCAAGCTATTTATTGGAAGGACACTGTCTGAACTTCGTTTAATGCTGACACACGTGTCTGGCTTTGGCACCAGACTGTGGCGCGCTGCTTACTGCGGAAACGTTGACTGACCTTGATCAACGCTGACTCGCGCTGTTTGGGTTTGATACAAGACTGTGACGCGCTGCATATTGAGAGGGCGTTGTCTGTCTGGTCAGCATCTAGCGGAGCTGAGGGTCTCAGCAGATTTCGGGCATTCAGTGGTTACTTTCAGAAATCGGGCCTTTCTGACCCACGGTAACTCCCGAGTGCAATCAGTTGGCCTTCACCGTTCGATTGTTACGAAACTAGTTTAGCTAGGAGACAAAAGATGAGTTTCAGGATGTGAAGAAAGTACATTTTTCGACAAGTTTAACAAACTCGCAGTCTTGATCTTAAGCATGAAATTCGTGAACTGGTAGGAGATCATAGAGAGGAGAAAGAAACGAACAGTTGATGAAAGTTCACAATCTGTTGGGCGTTAATCGATGTTTTGGAAGTTTGTGTCAACCTTGGGAACCTCTTTTGGAATAAATAAATTTTTTCTTGTGTTTGGAGGATGTTAGAGTTAGACAGTGATAGTGGTCTGGAAGATAGTAACTTTCGGTGGATCCACTTTCAAGAGAAAGACCACACTGTGCGAAGTTCAGTTTTTGAGATCGCAATCCAAGCACTGGAATGCACTGGTGCCCACCGCTAGAGCTACGTCCACCGAGGATGAGAATAATGGACTGAGGACCACGCGCGTTGGGCGTCGGCTCAGTCACCTCCTTGATGTCAAATGGTTCTACTTTCCCGGTATGATAGGGAGTGAGTAATACTCAGTGTAGATGGCAGCTTAGATGCACAAGCGTCACTGCAGATTGAATCACCCCGCGATCCTCACCCTCGGGGACAACAATTACCAAAGTGGCTGAGATGACTAGAAAGGGCTTTCATGCTTCGTTGCCAAATTATAGGGTGATCATCACCATGGCGTCTTTGTCTGATACAAGGTTGGGTGAATTCAGTTCTGCGAGGCTCTGACAGACTTCTGGCGTACGAAGTACACAGCCTGTTCAGCGCAGTCAGACTAGCGACGAAACGTAATGCCGTTACTCAAAAGGCTTCTCCATGCTATCTCAAGCAACGAAGCAACAAATTGACAGCAGAATACCAGTTTTTAATTTTAGGAAACTAAAGTAAAAAATTCCATCTATTTTGAGCGTGTCCGCTATTTCCGCAAACCTAACCTGACTTATGGATAGCAGTCACGTGACTGTGATGCCTGACTGAAATTGAAAACTGAAAATATCATAAATTTGATGTATGACGATAGTGGTGCGAATTTCGCACTGGAAAGTCGTGCTTTTAAGCTTCACATATCGATTGAATGAGTGGACCTTGAAGGCTGGGGGTTGTATTGATGTTATGTGGCTGTTCAAAGTTTTCATCGATCGGATGACTAATGTTACCTGAAGAACAATAGAACTCACCTTTGCTTCTCTCAAGCCTGCAAGACATGTTGAATTGCAATATGGATGAGATTCCACAAAGGGTTTCTTTTAAGGCAGGAGCAATATGAACCAAAATTGGCATACTATTTGCCACGATGTCTATGATCCGTTGGAAAATGATGTCTGGAACAACTTCTGTTCCACAATGTGTCGCACATTGTCTCCCCTTGGTGGCCTGTATTGATAGCAATTTATTCATAAAACGCTTACTTCTGGTTAAGTGATACGATATAGAACAAATTCAAAATTGAAAAGTGCTAGGAAACTTAAAAATGAGCTTCTGGTTTAACGTTTACAAGATATGGCAAACAATTTTTGTTCAAGCCGCATTAATCTTCTGGGTCTATGGCGCTGCTTTCATCATAGAGACACTTGCTTTCGCGAACTTTAGAGCAAGGTTAGTCTCAGAGTAAGGTATCTTACGATATCTCCTCTGACTTCGTTATTGAAACTGTGTTTAAAAGTGAATATCTTTTGTTTGGTTTTCCGATCCACAGTGACAAGTAGAACTGTTTCATTTTTTTGTTTTCAGATGGACCATACATTAGAGACCAATACGCAGCAAGATCAGAGCAATGTTCCAATGTTCCAGTCGCACAAACCTCAGCGGCACAATAATGCGAGCCAGAAGCCTGTATACGAATCCCACCGTGGTACTAGAGAAATCCATGCAGGTAAATAGAAAAAGGCTATTGTGTTCATTTCTCCCCTCATATGATATGTCGCGTCCTTTATATGTAAGCATTGCTGCTTCATGCTTGCCTCCCGATATGTCTTAACATGTAAGGATAAAATGACCTGCCATGCCAACCGAAAGAAGCACGAGGACCGAGACACTGTCAGATTGCCCAACTCTAGACAGGAGCAGTTGCGGTCTGTTTCGAACCACGGACGTTCCGATCAGTGGGTTTGAATCCCAACCACTTGAGCTCAAGGACCATGCCAATACTCTTAGCTGCTCGAATGGATATATACTATTGCCACGCCACGGAATTCGAAATCTTTCAACGGGATGCTTATCTTGGAGGTCCCAAGAAAGTGCAGCTGGAGCAATGGAACACAGAAACGCATTGTGCTTTGTTGTGGACCAGAATCGATTAATGCCTTCTTATTACCGTGAACACTGGTCTGAATAGCCGCCTGATCGATCGCCTGGTGCGCTTGGCGAAACCAGAAAGAGTCAACGAACGTGCGAGTCGGCTGATCTGTTGATCACTGTAGCGTACAAGCGGCCAAAGGCGACAGCTCATCTGTCAAGGACGAGTCAAGAACAACCAATGAAATCTGTCTCAACGAAAACGGTTATTCCATTGGAAGTTACGTTCGAAGCTGGCTCTCCGTGCATGAAGAATTGAGTGCAACAGTGTTGGGTCAGAATAATATAACAGCGGCCCACAGAGCTACGAATGCGCCTCAGAAAGTGAACCAATTCACCCGGTAACATATCCACATACTCGCCCAGGGAAAAAAACCAATAGGTAGCGTAAACTTATGAATGCGTGGTACTCAACTGAGGAATCAATCGCCATACCCGGTAAGAGTGATTCAAACCGACAATCTTTCAAGGACTCGTATCACCGCCGCCAACAAACTGAACATTTTACAGAAAACCAAACAGGAGGCCAATAAAGGCAGCACAAAACTCAACGGATTAGGTCAAGACTATTGAGTATGTAACCAAGCAAAATAAGTGCACATTAACGAGAAGACCAAGATAAAGGATAATGTTAGGAGCCACGCAGAAACCAGGGAGTTGCCGCTAAAAGACCAATCCTCAAACAAAAAAGAAAGTGGATGTTCAATTAGTCAATCACTAAACAGAAACAGGATGAAAGCTCGATGCAAGAAATGCAAAGGACGCATTCGGAACAAAGGAAGTTAACTGCTGATATGGAAACATTCAAGGAACGAGAGAGAATCCACCCATGGCACGGCGTAAATTCAAGAAAGGCAAATCAAGCTCTTTGCCAGCCAATCCTCGGGTAGCCAGTCTTGTGAAATATACTTTCTGGAAACCACGTCAAAGCATGCGGACGTGGAAGAAGTTCCATACAAGCGATCCCTTTTGCTATGACGATCAAGCGTTTTCAAATCAACTAGCACAATCGGCGAATAGATTCACTATCACCAAATCAATGGCCAACAGACACAGATGAGCTACAAATGTGTAGACTTATTCACAGTCTCCTGGCATGTCAGAAAAAAAACTGATATAGTTCACTACTCTGTTGAGTTCACACCGCAGAGTAGAGCCACTGGTTTCGATTTCTGCTCTAGTCAGAACCCATCAGCAAGCGATCATATCGCTCAGAACTGTTCGATGGGATAACTCGACAGTGCCCAGCACGCGCTGCTGGACTGCTGGTAAGAGATGTGCCGAGGTCAAACCCTGACATGACGAAGATTGTGGACTGTTGATGATCTTGAATAAGGGAAGTGAAACCCTTCTGGATTGAAGGGTAACTGCCCAAAACGAGCTGGATGTGAACGCGAATTCCGCAAGTGGTGGGTGTGAGCTGTCCATCTAAGAAGCTTTGCGTGATTGTCGTTCAAGTTCCTTCGTTCGAACCCCCACCTGCACGTTGGTTTGATCAGTTTACACTGCCGGACAGCTAGAATTGATGTTCACAGAAGACACAGCGGATATTCATCCGAACCCGCAATCCAAAGTTTGGTCGAGTAGTACTGAAACAGACTTCAGTAGTTTGAATATTGTCCCAGCTCAAAACAAGAGGCGGTCATTGTGCAACAAATTGGGTTGAAGGACAGTATGAACAAAGGTTTCAGGTGGACATCAACTAAGTCTGCAGTCAAAGCCAACTTTACGAGTGAGTATTTAGCGTACCATCATTCTACTGAAGCGCATCTGTTTTCCGCTATCTCATAGGATTTGAGTTAGATGCAACCTGCGTTCACTCCCTAGGGCAAGAGTAAAACTGTCCCACTTATTCTTGGGCAACTATATTAAACCGGCCATAGGCGCCTCTTGATTCGATGGGGTGTGTACACGATCGATCCAATAAAAACTGAGCGGTATTTCAAAGACAATTTTACAGCAGACGTTCACCACTCAGAATATCATCAGCGTCAAGCAGTGTATAAATGGAGTTCAACCATTTAGTATCAATACTCTGGAGAAGATCGCTCACTAACGTGATGTCAGTTGTTAGGAGGACATTTTCCGATAAAAATGGGCAAATCAGGCAAAATGCTTGGAACTAGAGTCAGGAACTATGAGCTGGGATCGGATGAGTGTATTAGGATCAAAAATAGAACAAAACGGAACAGTCGTTTTTTGTATTTTCAGTAGACCACGAAAATGAGCGTCTTCCACCGCGCCGTCTTATTCGAAGAATCAATAAGCTCGACAGAAAGGCGCAGAAGTGATCACTGCAATTTAGTCCTGCTGGTGAAAACGGTCTATATTAAATAGCTGAGAAATACTGTATAGCTGTTTGATCCTTAACGGGAATCGTGGGCAGTGCTGACGTCACGAAACTAAAGAAGTTTCGAACCCGCGACCTTCTGATCTGTGGTCGAACACGTGACCGTTGGGCCACGGGCAGCTGTACAACAGAGTGATTAGCTGGTGTACTTAGGATATAGTGCTAACTCTCCGAATGACGGTTCTCAGATGCACCTTGGTGATGATGCTCAATAAAGATGACACCCATGCAGGCATTTCAGCACAGAATATCGGATCTCCTAACCTAACCTTCAAGAAATTGTTACACCAAGAAGCTGTAGTCGGCTACGGACACACAACACACGAGGATTTTTACCGACGACGTATTCTGATAGACGCGAATTCGGGCGTCAAATTGGCTCAGAACGGAGAGCGAGTCGGGGTCAGGTAGATACGAATCAAGGGTTGGTACTTTCGGTGAACACAATACTACTCTCGGTTTCATGAGTAGACTAGCTTCAACAAATCCTCAGGTCATGGGAATACGAATACCGTAAACGAGTTTTCAAAGTCACACAAGTGTCTGTCAAATAATTGTATATTTTGTTCACGTTATGTTCTGTGCAGTCGGATTCTTACATAAGCTTCTGAGACAAAATAGATTAAAAGCAATCGACACCTTGACTTCTTCTAGAGACTAAGCAGATATGAGAAAGAGAGTCAGAATTCCTGAGGGAAACGACACACGGATGAAAGTTACCCCACATTTTGTCTCAACCACCTGAACTTTCCCGTCCTTTTCACAAGCATATAACGCTAATCGGGATTAATCGCACAAAAATACACACCTCCCCCTATGGCCGTTCGAAATCAGCCACTATCAAAACTCAGGGGGAAACTGCTCATTGGTTTGCGTTTCCCGTACTTTGGCTTTTATATCTTCCAATGGGGAAACCAGAACCTGCGGACCTGTTAACATTTCAGGCTGTGAACAGAGGTCAGAATCACGAGGCAAAGATAAAATATTACCTTTCGTGCTGTCATGGTCGGCCGAATTTTGACCGAATCGAAGTTAGTCGGCAGGTATTGTCGACGTGGACAACAGACTGTTAGGAGAACCAGCTCCGAACGCAATGGCACTGCATAACTGCCAATGAAAAAACCGTTTTTCGTTGAGGGACAGATTTCATTGGTTGTTCTTCACTCGACCTTGACAAATGAGGTGTATTCTTAGCATCACTTTTCATCAGCTTGTACACGACAGTGATCAATAGAGCAGCTGGCTCCCACGTTCATTGATTTTTCTGGTTTGGCCAAGCGCACCAGACGATCAGGCGGCTATCCGGACTGGGGTTCACGGTAATAAGAAGACATTAAGGGACTTTGGCTCACAACATAGGGTATCCGAGAAATTACAAGACGTTCGGAGCCAGACTTTATCGTGCAGTCGCCACAAGCCATTCTCCTGTCCTGTTCTTTCCTTAGTTACTGCTTCGCCTGTTCAGGAGTGTCTTACTTATTAGTTCTTTTGGAGACAAAAAATCAACGTTGAGGTTTTTAGGACGAGTCACCCAAATTCAAGAATCAAAGTTAATCAATCCTGTGAGCAGATTTTGTTCCACGAATGTGCAATGGTACAACCATGACCGTTTGAGAAGATCAAGCAAACGTGAGATTCAGCTGTGTTCCACTCTATTTGAGTGTACTTGTCGGAACCGTCCAATTTGTGTTCAAGTACAACATAAGGTTGCCCGAAACTCGGGGAGTACCCCTCTTCCTGATGAACCCCAAGAAGGAGGAAACAGGTTGTGGATTGCCAAAGAATTTTCAGCAACCTTTTGAGTAATATATTAACTCTACTCTAAGTTACAAAAAGTTTAATTGTTTTCGATGCTTTTTTCCTACCCCGGTGACTCTTTGGGTGCTTGGCTGGAGGCGATGAACAACGAGGAGTCTAACTGATGTAACTGACGTTCGTGATACCAGTTTCTAATCAGATTGTCTGATGGAGTGTTGGAGGTGTAGGGGCTGAAGTCTATTTCTGGGCCCTCATTGCTGTTCCAGTTCTTTTTTCGCATTACATGGCCTTATGCAAGTAAACTGACATGTTCGCAAGGCACTGAAATACCAGGGTTCTCCTCTGGCGTTTCTGTCAATGATGATGTGCCAAGGCACAACCACCAACCCACCGCTACGCACTACTACGCTCCACGATAACGCACTGATGATGTCACCTCGATTGGTGATGAAACGTTTGCAATCAAATTG